GGGCATGGCAGCTGCTGTGCTGGGCGGCTGGAAGCGTCTACGGGGCATGGGCCGAGCGGAGGCCATGGCTGCCTACCTGGCTCTGGCGGCGCAGTGTCCAGGTTTCGGCGCTGCTCGGTATGAAGTTCTGGAGCTGAGCACGGTGAGGGGGATTAGGGAGAAGGGGACTCTGGTGGCCCAAGCCCCACACCTTTGCCCCAGAGCCAGAGGCCCCCACTGTGGGGTCATTTCACTCCCTACACCCAGCACAGCTGCCCTTCTCAGACCCCAGGAGTCCCTGGCTCTTGGGCCCTCACTTCTTTGGAGCTTTAGCCCCAACTCCACATATGCATGGTGGATCATAGGGGGACTGGGAAACTTCCTGCTCTCAGCCATCTCTTCCCATCAAAAATAATGCTGCAGGTTCCTCTTTCTGCATCCTGACTATGCCTCTCTGTCCCCAGGAGCCTGGTGGGGGCGCTCCACAGAAGCTATGCCTGGGCCTGGGAGCCAAGGCCATGTCCCTCTCCCGACCTGGTGAGACAGAGCCCATCCATAGTGTCAGCTATGGTCATGTGGCCGCCTGCCAGCTAATGGGCCCCCACACCCTGTCACTGAGGGTGGGAGAGAGCCAGCTCCTCCTGCAGAGTCCCCAGGTGAGTGGGAAGAGGAGTGTGAAAGGAGGAAGGAAGGGAAAGGATGTCCAGAAACATTTATTAAACACTGAGCATGGGCCAGGTACAGCTCTAGGCACTGGTGATCTGGCAGTGATCAAAGACAAGCTCAAGGAGCTTACGTTAGAGTGGGGGAGTCAGACGTGAACAAGATATCAAAGATTATTTAAGATAGTGATAAATGCTACAAAGGAAAGGGTAATGTGACAGGAGGTGACTGGAGGGGGCCATAGCGTCACATAGGATGGTCAGGAAAGTATCCTTTAAAAAGGTGACATTTAAACTAGCCATAGGAAGTTCTGAGGGAACAGCATTCCAGGTAGAGAAGGAACTTAGCTTATTAGAGAAGCACAAAAATAAAGTGTGATTGGCACGTAGTGAAGGAATGTTGATGAGAAATGAAAGGTTGTAGGGGGCAGCTCATGTAAGGCCTTGGTAAGGAGCCTGGGTAGAGGATGAGACAGGAGAACCCAGTGGCCCCTGTTGTATCCTGACCTCTGCCCTCTCTTAGGTGGAAGAGATCATGCAGCTGGTGAATGCCTACTTGGCTAACCCCTCCCCTGAGAGGCCCTGCAGCAGCCCTCCTCCTTCATGCCAAGACCTGCCAGACACCTCCTCTCCCAGCCAGCACCCGGGCCTGGACGAGCCCCAGGGACAGTCTGGCTGTTTGGGGCAGCTGCAGAAATGAGCCTGCCAAGAGGTCACAACTTCCCTCCCATCTCCAGCCTGGACCTGGACTGCTCTGAGATTTGAGGGAACCATGGACCCTTTTAGCCCTGCAGGGACAGGGCATACCCTACACCCAAGGGTTGCAATGGGTGCAGACAATTTTCTAGATTGTTTCTTAATTTATTTGTAGAAGAAAAAAAAAAAAAAAAAAAACCACCTTATTTACACAAACCCTTCCTGTGAGAGTTTGTCAGTGGGACAAGTTGGAGCCCCATAGCTCAGAGCTCCACCCCTGGGGACGCCCACACTCTGGGCTTTTACCAGCACTAAGGGGAGTCTGGACACCACAGGGCTCCACCCTCCTTGACTGTCTGGATTTAACCTCCTCCTGGCCAGTTGGCTACCACTGGGTGGTGGGTGGGGTAGACAAGGGGGCAACTGTGGAAGCTGGCAATTACTTATACTCTTCTCCATTGAGTGGCATAGAGGTGGCCTACTTCCCCTGAGGCCAGAGGGCAGTGAGTCATCAGAACTAGTACTACCCAGTTCCTATCCTGGTGTCTAGCTTATAGGGGGCCTGGTTGGATCCATCTTTGGTGTGCCTGGAATGGAGAGAAGCCTGGGGCTGGATTAGACCCAGGAACTTCTTTGGCACAGATAAAGAGCTTGTCAGGATGGGCTCAGCCCTACTCCTGAGTTCTGTTCCTGTTTTATGGGGTTGATTTCCTGAGGATCTGATATCCTTGGGCAGTGAGAATCCAGAGTCCCAGCTTTCCTGACCTGCTCAAAATGCTGGCCCTCCTTCAGTAGTCCCCATTGCCTCATCCCTGAGTAGAGGAGGCTGGGGCAACTGATCCACCTGGGGTAGGAGTTAGGCATGGAGGAGACAGCAGACTTCAGTAATCAATCCTCTGTAGTCTTGAGAGTAGAGCTAACTCCAGTAAACAGCCTAGTTCTAGGCAGAGGATGTCAAGGGAAATAGTAGACACACTAAGACCTGGTAAAAAGCTAGGGCAGGTAAAGGTCACCTTACCAACACATGCCTGGACACTGGGAGGTGTGATGGAGGGGCCTTCACCATCCCTACAGTCACAGACCAAACCCTGATTATATTTACAACCAAGCTTTATTATTTTATTAGATGTAAACAAGCATATCAAGGGTTAGGGCATAAGAGGCAGGGAACAGGGTTAGGTCCTGGGCTGGAGATGAACCTAAAAGAGTTGCTGGTAAGGGGAATTTGAGTCAGACGGACCAGGCATGATGGAAACGGTGCTTACTATCCAGGGGGAGTGGTGGGGAGGAAGTCACTGCTCCTGAGTGCCCCAGGAGATGTAGTCTGGCCGCGTGGCGGCATGGTACTCATCAATGAGCTCCTGCACAACCTCCCTGGACCTGTCCAGCTCATCAAAGTTCTCCTTGAAGATGTCCTCCTTGCGGAACTGCTCCAGGAAGGCCTCCCGCTTCCGCAGCTTGTCGTACTGCTGGCAAGAACTTTCAAAGAGCTGAAAGAGATAGAAACCTCCATGACGGGAGCCAGTGCAGGATAGGGAGGTTGGAATAGACGGGGGAGGGGGGGGAATGATGAAGGGGCTAGTGGAACAGAGTGGCCAAAGAAGACCAGGAGACTAGCCTTACCGAGGAGATGCTGGTATGGTTGGCCATCATGAGGCCACTGACCCGATGCGCAGAGGGCAGGTAGGGAGACTTTCTCGACAGGGCCACTTGGATGCTGGCTGGGCCCCAGGGGATAAAGTTGGCCAACTTCCGTTCCCGGATCCTCTGCAGGCTCTTGTGGACCTAGGGTGGGCACAGGGGTGGTGGTGGTGGCCTCTCCTCTACCCTTGCAGGTTTCAGGGGTGGAGTGAAGGGGCCTCACCTACCTGAGTGGGATCCACCTCCCCCTGGATGATGTTGAGGATGGCGATGTAGCAGTGGTTGGTCTGGCGATCCCGGCCAGTGGACACCATTACATTCTTGGGCTGCAGCAGCCGCCTCATGACATCCAGGACCGTGGTCTTCCTCACGCTGGCCACCTGAGGGGACAGTGGGCCACAGGGATCAGGCCAGCACTCAGGGCACAGTCCACAGATGCATGGGCAGAGAAGACAGGCAACACATGTCCTGCACCAGACTTGGGGCAGTATGGCCTCTTTGGGGAGTGTCTTTAGATTCAGGTCTATACTGAGCCTCTGCTGTGGGATCAGGAATCTTAACCATCCTCAGCTCAGCAAACTCATGCCCCTGTGCAGGAGCATAAGTAGATCCCATTCGGCCCAGGCCCTGCAGAGAGCCAAAGGCAGGGGACAGAGGAGAGCAAGGAAGTTGTATAGTCTGTGCCAGTCCCTGAGCACAGAGCCTCCTGGGGCAGCAGGGAGAAGAGAAAGGCGGGCTTAGAGCCTCTGGGCCCAGGGCAGTTGGGCCTGGGACACTGAGGGCCGCTCTTACCGACTGGTCCGTGGTGAGGGGGGTGTAACCAGTCATGAGGAAATGGAGCCGTGGTGTGGGAATGAGTGAGGCGATGAGGCCAATGAGGTCGTTGTTCATGTAGCCAGGGTAGCGCAGGGTGGTGGTGCTGGCTGACATGATGGTGGACACCTGGGGACAGGGATGCCAGGTCATGGGTCTTGGCCCGGTTGGGGGTGCTCCCTTCCCCAGACAGCATTCCAGTAGGGAAGGGTTTTAGTCCAAGAGTCCAGGAGTGATGGCTCACCAGCTGGTTGATCTGGGAGAAGGATGGGTTCTGGATGTGTAGGCGGTCTGTGGCGATGCGGTTCAGGGCTGTGTTGTCCAGCACTACCTGGGGGGACAGAAGAGGGTCACGGCACCTTTTTGAGGAGAAAGGGGGCAGAGAAATAAGTTATTAGCTTATCCCTCCTCTAAATTCCCAAACCAGGAAGTGTGTAATTTTAAAAAGAATGTACTGTGTCTGGGGCATGAGACACTTTTCTACCATCCAGTGCAGTAAACAAATATTTGATTATCCCTATGTGCCATGTACTGTGCCTGGCTCTGGAGATACCAAAGGGAGTAAAAGGGCATGGTCTTCCCCCTCACCAGGTCTACAGTCTAGTGGAAGAGACTGATATTAAATATTAAGCAACAGAAAAGCCCGAGCCAGTCTGGCTCAGTGGTTAGAGCATCAACCCATGGACTGAAGGGTCCCGGGTTTGATTCTGGCCAAGGGTACATACCTTGGTTGCAGGCTTGATCCCTGGCCCTGGTCAGGGCACGTGCGGGAGGCAACCAATAGATGTTTCTCTCTCACATTGATGTTTCTTTCTCTCTCTCCCCCTTCCACTCTCTCTGAAAAAGCAATGAAAAAATATTCTCGGGTGAGGGTTAAAAAAACACACACACAAAAAAAACAACAACAAATCAACAGAAAAGTATAATTACAGTCCGAAATATGCACAAAGGCATCTGACCTTGACTGAGTGGTCAGGAAGGTTTATGCTAAGAGAGTGACCTTTGCGCTGAAAATTTAAGCATGAGTAGGCATTAAATAGGCTAAGCGGGGACATATGGGGGACTGTAAGCAACTTGGGATCACGTCCTTATTTCACAATTTGAGCCACCAGGTATGGATTTGCTGGTCATCTGTTCTCTTGGCTGGGGCTCAGAAAGGGCAGGTGTATGTGTCTCACTGCACTGGGAGGTGGACCCAAGCCCCCTCTTTCTTCCTCTTATGCTCACCACACAGTCTGCATTCTGGGTCAGCCTCTTGAGTGTGAGCAGTGAGTTGTAGGGCTGGACCACCACATCACTCATCTCATCCTGGTTGGGAAACACTGAGTATGTCTGTACCAGCTTCTTGGGGTATCTGGGAGTGACGAAGAGGGAAAGGGGAAGGTAGCACAGTGAACTGAAGGACTCCCATCACTGCCCACTTCTGTCTTCTCGAGGGATAACGGGCCATTCCTTTCCAAGTGCCACCAAACTCTTATACAAAAGAGCAGAGGGCAGAACTGAGTCTCAAGAGCACTGGAGCCAAAAAGGATAAGATTAAAGCATCAAACCCTGTAGATCCCCTCCTCTCTCTAGGTAAACAGCCCTCCCAGGAGTTACTGTTTCCAACATGTTCCCTGGGTGGCCAGGCTCTGTTCCTACCTATGACTCAAAGGGCTAGTTGCAGGCCTTCTGGTCCAAGAGAAAAAATGCCCTCTCCCCAAACACAGGCTTACCTGTCATTCAATCGCTCCAGGAGGTAGGAGCCCAGGCCAGAACCCGTCCCCCCAGCAATGGAGTGACACAGCACAAAGCCCTGCATGGGGAGGGATGGAGAGGCAGTCTCCAGGGATCTGGGGAGAGACTTCAGGCTTGTCTCATTCCCCACTCCCAACACACTCATGCCTCAAGCTTTCCTCTGTGTCCATCCAGGCTGAGGCTCGTGGGAAGGATGACTCATACCTACGAGACTGATGCCATCCAGATTAGGATCTCCTTGAGGACAAGGACTGTACCTCATTTACCTCAATATCTCACATCTGATGCTCAATAAATGAGTTTTGATTTGAATTGTCCCTATCACACCACCTGTTCAGGCTACCTCCTGACATTTCCCAAACACATTTCAGCCTTTTTTTTTTCTTCTTCAGTGGGGCAGAACCTCACCTCCAGGCTGTCACTTCCATCTGCTTCTCGGTCTATGATGTCAAAAATATCTTCATGGATTTTCTCACCCTGCACAGAGACGGGGGAGGGAGGGTCAGGATGAAGATTTTGGAAAGCATCTCTTTTCAGCACCCATAATTCTACCTAGGGACACTGCTGCCACCCTCAAGCAAAGACTCAGCTGTGGCCCTCAGCCCAGAAAAGCTACTTTGCAAATGATTTGCACAGTTTGCATAAACCTCTCCCTGGCTGTCCCTCTGGTCAGGGTATCCCTTTGTCTCCTATTTATTGTTAATCTGATCTAGTTAGATCCCCAGGCTGCTTGAGCCTGCTTTGCCTAAGGTGGGAACATCAAGGGTTTCTGGGATGGCCACCTGAATACCTGGGAGAATCCACTGGCCCAGTTGTTGCCAGCTCCTCCTCCATGCTCGGACAGGTAAATATTCTCTGGGTTGTAGAGCTTGGCATAGGGGGAGTTTAGGATGGAGTGGATCACCCGGGGCTCCAGGTCCAGCAACACAGCCCTGGGGATGTAGTGCTCATCGTCTGCCTGTGAAGGGGAGTCCAGGAGGGGGCCCACTCAGCTAAGGCTCAGTCCTCTGGCCTCCCAACG